AATGAACAAACTTGGCGTTGCATTTGCAACCATGTGAAAACAGGGGGTGCTGCAGCCCCCTCAGCACCCCTACTTCCCGCGTCCCTGCATAGAAAACAGTTCTTTTAAATTGTAATATTTCACAAAATTACCGTTTTTTGCTCTATTTTTGATTGAATAAATGCAGCCTTGGTGAGCAGATGAAACTTTTGTAAAAAAAAATAAAAATACAAATATTTAATAAATAAAATATCTGCCGACTGATACTGAACAGCAAAATTTAGCATCGTGAGCATTAATGAATATTCAGTCAGCCGCCTTTGGCAGGTTTGGCTAAATGTTGACTTTAGACCCAGAATGCAGCCCAAATGAGCATCTGAAGGATATATTGGTGAAACTGAATGAATCATTGGTGCGTATCAACATCAGGAAGCCGATGCGTGTGACATTAGTGAAAAGCAGCCCTGTTCTGTTCTGTTCTCTCAGATTTCAGAGTTGTTGACATTTTGGCTCTTTTGGTTTGTTTGCGTTTGTTGTGTGTGCTCGTCATCAGGAAGTATCATCGCGCTTCATCAAACTTTAACGATCTGTCTTTGAGCTCGTGTCGTCGTCATGCACAGTGGAGGCAGCGCTGGAGTCTTTAAAATCTGCCTCGTCTGATCTCTGGCTGTCTCTCTAGGCGTATTTACCAGCAATCAGCCGGCGTGTTTATGATGTGGAGCTGCACACTCACAGGAGGGTGACAGCCTGTTATCTAGTCATTAGAAAACCACTAGTAGCAAACAATCACCATCTCCATATCGCTCTCACATCTCGCTCCGACACAAACGCACCTGCATCTGAGAGAAATCTGTGGAGGTTTTGGCGGGTTCGGCCCGTGTTGGGCTGCTGAGGTGTGATTCCTCAACTTCTGGCTGTACAGGTTTCTTGATTTGGCTACATGGTTCTTGGAGGATTAAAAAAATGTTGTTTTTGATGTTCTTCAAATCAGTTGTTTACAGGGATTCACCAACGTGTTTGTCAGCCGAACTCCTTGCCAGAAGTAAAATATTCACTTGAAGCCAGATTTTAAGTTAATATTTCAATAATTTAATGACATATTTACATGTTCATGATTCTTTGATGTTGGTTAATGGTCACATGACATGCAAGTAAACAGATAAAATATTAAATATATTTTTCAGTGTTTTATTTTGATTTTTTTTATAATTTATGTTTTTATGTTAGATTGTTTATATATAGGATGCACAACCTGGTCAAAAAATTATATTGTGATTACTTTGTCATATATTGCAATTGTGTTTTGAATTGCAATATAACATTTAATTTCATATAAAAATGTCTTGTGTTGCTAACGGAAATAGTTTTAAGGTTGTTCATACTCTTAGTTTTGGTTCCCGTAAAGAGTGAACACATGTTACAATGCAAATGTCTTAAATGATTCACTTTCAAACATTCAAACCCTCAAGCTTTACACATTTCAAATCCTCAAACTTCTGTTCTGGCAGAATATCGGTGAAATGCTGTAAGCTTCTGCCCAGAAAAATGCTGGAAGCATTTACTGTGAACAAGCCACTCTGAAAACACACTTTTATAAGCTGCACGCGTGTAAATGAACACAGTGCCGCTCTTCACTCTGAAACTTGCAATGCAACAAACAGACTGTATTCTAGGGTTGTGACGGTGAGGAAATTTTCCCACCGGTTAATCGACATGTGACAACACCGATAATACCGGCATCACCGCGGGGGCGGGGGCGTTCCCTCTTTTCCTTGCTTTCCTAAATAGCTTGTAAAAGCGGCATGTGCATTTTACTTTCACTTTCAAATAGCGGCAATTCGGCGTAAAGCAATTGTCCGTTTTTAGTTAGTTTGAATTCTCCCTCTTTTCCTAGCGGCAGTTAGGCGTCAATTGCTTGAATGCAACAACAAAATATAATGTCAAACTCACTTTAGCCTATATATAAAACATAGAACTTTTATTAACAAAACAAATACACCATGCTATAGGGCAGGCTATGCCTAATATAAAATAACAAATAACTTACATAAAGTTTAAATAGGTATACAAAACTGGAAAAGTAAACGTATAATATATAACCAAGTAAATAAGAAAGTAGAACGTTTATTAGCAAAACGAGTAAGAAAGCTTGGAGGCACGGCATATTGTCAGTCAGCTCGACTCACTCTCCTCACTGGAGAAATGAAATCTGATCTGTGATGCGACTGTCGTTCGGCACGCTGCATTGAGCAGCCGCGTTCAGTTTCTAATTGTAGTGTCAGTTCTTTTACTGAACTAAATGATTTTTATTACTATAAAAAATCAAAACGATGGTGGGGGTCGGTGCTGCAGTGGGCAAGTGACGTAACCGGTGTTGCGGCTTAACACCGGTATCACCGTCAGCACCGTCTATCGCGGCAAGCCTACTGTATTCTATTATTTCAATTTGATTTGATACCTGCAATTTGATTTAACATATACAGTACTTGTCAAAAGTTTAGAAACATTATGTTTTTAAAAGTCTCTTCTGCTCACCAAGGCTGCATTCATTTATTGATCAAAAATAGAGTAAAAATGTTACTATTGTGAAATATTATTACATTCTGATAGTTTTGCTGCTTAATATTTTGTGGAAATATTTTTCAGGATTCAAATAGAAAGTTAAAAATAACGGCATTTATTTGAAATAGAAATGTGTAACATAATGAATGTCTTTACTGTCACTTTTAATCAATTTAATGCATATATGCTGAATAAAAGTATTAATTTAATCCGTGTTTATACTACTTTGTGCAGTCCTTTAGTTGGTAGGTTTAGGTTTGGACAATAGTATATTTAGACATTTTATAGTCTTATATAAAAGATCATGTCTTTGGGGTCAAACAAAGTCAAACTTTCCTTATTTTGCTTTCGTTGTGCGGTCTTTTAGTCCTCACAAAGTAGTAAAAATAAGTTCACACACACACACACACACACACACACACACACACACACACGCGCGCACACCTACACCTAACATTTGAATGGTAGTACATCATGGTTTCCACAAAAATATTGTGCAGCACAACTGTTTCCTACATTGATAATAATCAGAAATGTTTCTTGAGCAGCAAATCAGCACATTAGAATGATTTCTGAAGATCATGTGACACTGAAGACTGGAGTAATGATGCTGAAAATACAGCTGCGCATCACAGAAATAAATGACATTTTAAAAGATATTCACATAGAAAACAGATACATTAAATTGTAATAATATTTCACAATATTAGTCTTTTTACTGTATTTTTGACCAAATAAATGCAGCCTTTGTGAGCATTAAAAGACTTAAAACATTTAAAATTTGAATGTTTCCGAACTTTGGACAAGTACTTTATTTCAGTTTTATTTTGATTAATTGTGCAGCCCGATTTGCTGTAAAATATTACATTCGATTGAATTAATTATCTTTTCATCAACTCACAAACCCCCGTTTGAGAAACCCTGGTCTATTAGTTTTTGGGGACTATAAAGTAGATGGTTTTCTGAGAGGACCTGTTCTCCTGTGACGTCAGTTCCAACTGGAAGCTTTACTTGAAGAGCGAAATAAAAAAAGGGCGGTGTTTATTGACTGCTTGCTTTCGAATCTGTTCCACAGCACACGTCTTGTCGATTCGGTTTATTCTCTACAAGCACGAGAGGGCTAATGTCGTTACTGGAAACCCTGGGCTAAACGCGCCGAGCTCCTCGCATGCTGAGGCCACAACTCTGTTCTGTTGTGTTTTTTTTACTTTTTGCTTTCTTCCTGCAGCTGGGGGACACGCAGATCGATGCTTCTCCAGCATAGGAATTCGCCACTGAAATTTTCATTTGTTACAAAGCGGCCCCAAACAGCCGGGAGGGCCCGCTGTCGTCCCGCATTAGGGAGAGCGGGAGCTAATAAAGCACTCGCCCGGGGTCACGCGCGACAATAGGCAACTCCGTGCCAGCTCCCATTAGCGCACGCACAAATCCATGGCCCCAAAATTTCTGCTGAAATTACCATCTTTGGTATCCTTGTAGCAGGATGTCAGCTGGGGAAGTGTGGTGGAGATATCTGAGCTGTCAGTGTGGCTGCTACTCAGCTGGCCCTTCTGCCCTGCGGCCGCCGCTAACTATTGCACTCCTCTCAGAGTCGCATCTGTGCACGGGAACCTCACGCGCCACTCTCCGGACCCGAAACGGCAGCGCTCTCGCGTACAGAAGGGTTCGGGCGAAGTCACCATAAAAGCACCCAATGAGATTTGTTTGCATAAACAGGTTGTGCATATTAATATAGCATCATGCGCCCAATGGTAATTCAAATATGAATACGTTAGTATTATTTAGCGGCGTTTAAATAAGCAGATGGTCGCTGTAGCCTGCATCTCGTTGACTTGAGCAGAAGATCACAGAGCTTTGGGTGATGAGGCCTTAAACTAGTTTATACAGACACAGCATTTATTTATTATATATGATCATAAACACGCCTTCTCTAGCCTTTCATAACACAGTTGAATATTCAGAAACTGCTAAATTAATAATTGGCACTTATATGATAACAATATAATTAGATGGAATAAAACTGTCACAGGTGTATGTGCATTGTGTCAAAAAGAAACAAAAAAAACAGGCAGAACATATTGGGAAAACACATCTAATTAAAAATGATAAAAAAATCAAGAAATATCATTATAATACTACTCTACTGTAAAGCATTTCATAATAATTTTATCTTATATAACAATATTTACTATTATTACTATCTTAAATAAAAACAGTACAATCACAATACTAATATTTATTTATTTTCCCCCTTGTTAAACCACAGAGCTTTCATTTTCTCAGAAAACCACAGGGAAACTTTTCTTTTGTAGACAACTGATTTATAAACCATTCTCATTACAAACTTGGGAAGATGTTTGGCATATAATGGCTCCCCTGTCAGAGCTCAGAGTCTGAACTATGCATTTCAATATACAGAAAAGTACAATGATGGCATAAGTAACAAAACAAGGCTTTACCTCTGACGATGAGCCCAGCAAAGTTGGAGACGCCGGATCCTCTCTCTGATTGGGTGACGCAGCGGTACAGATCTTGGTCCTGGCTGCTCACTTCTCTCAGCCGGAAAGAGGCCGCAAACTTCCTGTGGTTGATGTTTTTCTTCTCCACCACTGGAATGTCCTCTCCGTTACGCTGCTGTATGTGACAACACCAGAGATGAAAAATCAAATATCTGCAGGTCTAACTGAACAATCCAGTCATCTGCCCTCAGTAAAACTGCTTCAGATGTCATAACTCAACAGTCAACAGTCACAATGATCCAAGTTTCGTGCTTGAAGAGTTTTGTCATTTTCAGAAGAAATGAAATCTGTCGACTAGATATTTACTGGTAGTTACTTTACAGATCAGTGTTGTTCAGGTATAAAACGTGGATGAGGAAACAATCGACAGTACAAAAATAAAACTAAATAAACAGAGATGATCTGTGATCAGTCTGTGGTGTTTTCTCAGGATTTGTAGCCATTGTAAGCCATAGCTGAACTACAGTGATGTATGATACTCTACTTATTGCTTACTTAGTTGTGGTATACAGTAAAAGCCTTTCACCTGGAAACCGTACGTGGATCTATTAAATAACGCAAATGCAGAGATGGGTCTTCATGTCATAAGGCCACATGCTGTGAAGGATTAGGGCTGTTATGCTCATGAGCGGTGAAGCTCCAGTGCTATGCCTGAGAGAAGCCGTGAAGGACGGCGGTCAGTGTCACAGGCCATCTGTGTGAGTGAAGTGTGAGAGCGTGCGCTCCCAACCATCATTCATTAGCCTCTTCAACACTGTTCAACACCATCTCCTATTAGTCAGGAGACACCAGCACTCGCTTGCTTTCTTCATTTTTTCACCTCCTGGTGTATCTAGGCCTGTCAGGATAACGACTTTTTGTTGTGAGATATATTGCCTCAGAAATAATTGCGATAAGCGATATTATTTTCATTTTAAAGACCATTTTATGCCACTGAATATATAATCATAATGTAACAGCATAATAATGCAAGAAGGCCTACACACTTCCAAATTACAACAAACTTTTAATTTTTAAGAATATTCAGATCATGGAAATTAAGTATCAAAATATTAGATACCTTAAAAAACCTGAATAAATAAATAAACATTTTCTAAGAAAAAGTGCTAAGTAACAAGTAATACAAAGAACTTGTTTGGAGATTTTTCTATCTACAGATTTTTCCCTGACCTTCTTTTCTCTGTAAATGAAGGGTGCACACTATTGCTGAAAAACACAATCACTATTCAGCAGTCAGATGTCCGTATGCACAAAGACACAGATCCCTAAACAAGGCCATATCTGCAGATGAAACTTTGTTTGTAGAAGCATTTTTTAATGTGAACTAGCACCTCATGACTGCACCACGTTATGTTCGAGAAGCTGCAAAAGACACAGGCACAAGTGGAATGTAAAAAACATGGTGACATTAATTTAAGTAAATATAATGGCCGATATATTGCATCACCAAAAATTATTGAGGTCATGTACATATATTGCGCGATTAGTCGATATATTGATTATTGCGACAGGCCTACGTGTATCAGAGCAGAAAAGGTCACTTCTGCTACACACTTTCCCACCCTGTCAGGCACTTCCTCTCGTTCAGTCTTTCGCTGATCATTCGTCTTCTCAGAAAGTGAAGGCCTCTCATTAGTTAATCAAAATCAAAGGTCAGCGGCAGGGCTCCACCTCAGCGCGAGCACCACATGCAAACCAAACCCGCTGACGCCGACATCATTAAGACAGCAGGATGTTTCTTCGGGATGAATAAGGTGTGTAAGTTTGAGGGGCGCGAGAGGAAACACTGTCTCTGTGACAGGCTCAGTTTTAATGAAGCCAGCGTCTCTCCAGCTGCTTGATTAGTAATTGTGGCTATATATACACCCGTTGACCATGAATATGGGATATAGTTTCCAGCAATGATGCAATTCTTTGACTATTGTGAAATAAAACGTAAAAACAGCAGAATTGTTTGCTCCCGCACATCCTGCACTTGACATTCCCGGCCAATTAGGGTGAAGCTCGTCTCGCTGAGAGCTTTGGTCTGATCTAAAGACCAGCTCGTGTTAAAAACTCTATCTGAGCTTCAGCTCAACGCTCCTCAACAGATCACAAGCCAAAACCAGTCACAGCTTTTGTTTTGACGGGTCACAGACAGCAGGGCGAAACGATACTTAATCAAACCCTTGTGAAAAAGAAGTGTGCTTAATTGTATTACTTGTGCACTTAGTGTACTTCAAGTATTTTTTTAAAAACCTGGACTGTTATTTGATACTACATTTAATAGATTACATTAGAAATTACATTTAATATTATTAATTGGGGAGTGTATTTTAAATGTATACTAAATTGCAACTTCATCATTACAAATTACAAATATATTTAAATACATGACATACAAGTTTCAATAGAAATTACATTAAAGTATATTTTGGCATATCATAAACGTTTGTCAGCTCTAACACTTTAACCATGTTAAAGACAAAATAATTATGAAATTACACATAAAGATGTACTGAAGTCCTTAAGTGGGTCAAAAACACTCTAAAATTCAACCAATTGAACTCTATAATATTTTCATTTAAACAACACTGCATTCAGTCTGCAATTAAAGGGACACAAAAGAAGATATTTTGAAGAATGTTAGTAACCAAACAGTTGCTAGTAGCCATTGACTTCCCCAGAAAACAAATAAACAATGGAAGTCAATGGGGACCAGAAACTGTTTGGTTACCAGCGTTCTTCAAAATCTCTTCTTTTGTGTTCAACAGATTTGGCACAAGTGGAGGGTGAGTAAATGATGACAGAATGATCATTTTTGGGTGAACTATCCCTTTAAGTATATTCTTTTAAAGTAAATTATTTCCATAGTAAGTACTCCTTTTAAAGTATGTTAAAGTGTACTTCTTTTTCACAAGGGTAGTTATGATAGCAAAACAAACAGACTAACCTACTTTTAAAAAGGAGGACAAAACAATCCCAGTATCATTTGGTGTTGATGTAAAGATGGACTGAAGTGTGAATTTTACAGGCAATAATGTCATATTTTACAGTCAAGGGAAATGCGGCAGATGCTGGATGCGTGCTGGTTTAGTACAGGTGTGTGTGTGTGTCCCACCTGCAGCCAGAGTTTGTTGTTGACGGCATCACGGACAGTGGCGATGCACTGGAACGTGGCGTTCTGTCTGGCGTTCACCTCCACATCCCCCAAACGCAGGAAGTGGGGCGATTTATCTGCATTCGAAGGAAAAGACAGCAACACATGACATTATAGCTCTCAAATACCGCAATACTGCATAGAGGACCTACAATAATGTACAGTATTTGAAAAATAATGGGTTTTTTGAACATTAAAGCATGTCAACATATTCTGTTACACCAAATACACAAAATAATGTTCTTTAATAGCATCATATGACCCCTTTAACCAGAGCTGAACACTCCCACAACAGGCACATTAATGCAGGAAGAATAAATACAGATATCATTCAGTTATATAGTACACACACAGCAGTACCCAGAGTTCAGCAGGCTGCTGGCTACAGCTCACAGCAACTAGTGAGAATTGGTCACTAAAGTGTTACATTAAAACTAATTGAAGGTTGAATGTTTGAGGCCTGCAACGGATGAGCCTTAATTATCACCATTGTGTCCCTGATCAACAGCTGAAATCATGTGTAAGATTGAAAACTAAAGGCTGAGTGACTATTTACTTAAGCTGTAGTAATACAAAGTTTGTCACAGGAAGAAAACAGACTGAAACAGTGAACACCTACAAGTTCAGTGGCATCACTTCTTTTTATGATCTGATTCCAGACAATTTTCCAATAAAGAGTTGCGATCCATGAACCAAACCAATCGCAACATCTTCCCCCATCTGGCTCTGAAAGTAAAACTGTTCCTCCCTGTCAGTGTTTCATTGGCTCTCTCTCTAGTTTCATTAGACTGAGTGTTCATTTGGCAGATCTGTGGTTACAAACACACAGAGAGGAACAATGAGATGAAGAGAAGAAGATGCAGATCTCATGTATTTCAAAGCTACTGTGTCAACACATCCTCCCGCAGTTTCACATCATACAGAAACACATGACTAGAGTTTCTGATGGGCTGCCCTCAAAATAATTGCTCTTGTACTGCAGGAAACACAGCAACACAATTGATGTCCAACAAAGCTCCTTCATCTCCCTCTCTTCCTGCATCAGCTTAATAAGATGTCATCCGTGATCAGCCGGAAGCTTTATTAGCAGCGTTCAGAGGGAATATAATCCATGTTGCGAGTGGCATTAATCCCTGCGCCTCCGTGGACTAGCTGTTAATTGGGAATACCTGTTACATTATCAGAGACACACACACACACACTCTCTCTCTCTCACACTCACACACACACACACAGCGCTAACCTGGAGAGACGCTTTGCTGGATGACAAAATATTAATCACTTAAAATGATATGTGCATTGCTGACATTTGGAGTGCTGAATTGTAAGCGCGTGCATGTCTGCTGATTGTGCCGTCACTCGACCCCTAAACGCTTCATGCTAAGTGCAGTGCTTGGCATGTAATAAGAGCTCATTATATATCAGCCCTCGTGCAGGGCTCAGACGTGTCAGAGAGGACGGCAGCTCTCCGTGTCACTTATTTACCGCTTGTGCTAATACTGCCCTCTCTGATCATTTATTGATCACGCTGCTCTTTACTGCTGATGTGCTCAGAAAAACACTTACCGCTGCAGACAAGATGCTCATGCTCAATCCCTGAAAATATTTCACTTTTAGAAATCTAAACTTTTAGAAAACTTTTAGGATCATTTCATAGCAAGATTCAACATGAAACGGTATCTGTATCATTTTGGGACTGTGTAGTGCCAACAGATTGAAACCGTTTTGCTGTCATTGCTAGTGTGTTTGTCAGCATCATCTCAACAGTAAAGATCAAACTTCTTTTTTCTCTACTAATATTGTAATTTTGGCCCCACTCCAAATATTTTATACACACACTACATTTTACTAAGTTTGGGGTCTGTATGATTTTTTTTTTTTTTTACTGCTACATTGTTTTATGCTACATTTTCATTGTTTTAGGCTACATTTACTTGACCAAAAATACAGTAATATTGTGAAATATTATTACAGGTTGAAATAGCTGTTTTCTATGTGAATATATGTTGTATAATGTAATTGATTGCTGTGATGCACATAACTCCAGTCTTCAATGTCGCATGATCTTCAGAAATCATTCTAATATGCTGATTTGCTGCTCAAGAAACATTTCTGATTATTACCAATGTTGAAAACAGTTGTGCTGCACAATATTTTTGTGGAAACTGTGATGCAGTTTATTTTTCATCACAGATGAACAGAAAGTTTAAAACAACGGCATTTATTTGAAATAGAACACTATAAATAGGGTACACATTTTTACCAATACATTTCCATGAATTGTCCATGACTATGTATAATATAAGAATAAAACTGTTCAAATGTTCAAATTTATCATAGCATATGTTAACTAAAATTAATGACTACTAATGCTACTTATTTGCTTTCTATTTGTTTTAGTAATAATTACAAGCTGCGACTGCGCCAGACGTTACTCCACACAGAGAACATATCATCACATCAATGAGTATTATAATCGATTTAACCAATATTACCAACTAGACTCAGGACCTGAATTTCATTTAGGAAACCGTTTATGTCTAACAGTAGTATTCAGGTACAGAAATATACAGAAATAGAATAAACTGTCAATTAAAAACAGATTAAAATTGAAGTTAGTGATGAGTAGTGATGGATTTTCTCTTTGTCTTTTGTTGTTTGATTAACATTAATGACAGACGGCTTTATTAGGCTGATGTCTCTTTAAGACAGATCTAGTGTACTGATACACAACGGTTTGCTTTCTCAACAACTGCTTACATTCACTTAAGACAAAACTGACTGTGTTTATGAGGATACTCGCCAGGACGGGCATTTTGACATCTTTTTGTGTGTATTTGGCCACTTAAGCGCAATAAGCTGCGGAAAAATAACTCAATTTGGTGCTCGCAAGGTGTTTTGCTTTATGTGTGCGCGCTTTGGATGTGACTATGACTTAAAAAGATGTGCAAATGATACAGCTTTGTGAAGATGCAACAGTGACCCGATTAGGCAAGTGACAATTCTGTCAACTGTCTCGAAACGCGAGCGGAAATCTCGTATCGCAGCATGCAGCAGCTCTCTCGTAGTGCAGGTGAGATGTGCTGATGTGAAGCTGTTTTGAGAGGATGAGATACCTGAATCACTGCTGTTTCCATACGACTGACTCGATCTGATATTCTGTGTGGATTTATTTACATCTAACCTACATGCTATATTAAATAACTGAGTAAAACTAGGCGATATATGCCTGATCCCACTCCGACCTGATTAAAAATATATTCTATTGCACAGAGCTTTGTGAAATACATTTCCATGACTTTTTCAAAACTTTCTGGGTTTATTAATTTTTCCTAAACTTTTCCAGGCTTTGAAATTGCCATTTTAAAATTCCATGACTTTTCCAGGTTTTTCATGACCGTACGAACCCTGTATAAATATGTCTTTACTGTCACTTCTGATCAATTTAATGCATCCGTGATGAATATATATCCTTCTGTCCCAGTTGAATAAGCACATTCAGCTATAAGATGTACAAGAGTGTGAGTTTTAGGAAATTATAGCTGCTTTAAATAACAGGGACAGTCCTGCTGAGTCCCTTACACAAGGACACAATGATGATAGTCTGGGATGTTTGAACCTTTAAATGCACTTTTGTGCGCTCAAAATATGATCTTTCGCTCGCAGAATTGTGGCAGAAATGTAAGCCCATACGCACACACCTCCCCAGACACAGACACGCACACGAACACGAACATACACGCACTCACACACCCCCAGACACAGACACGCACACGCACACACACCCCCAGACACAGACACGCACACGCACACACACATTCACACACACACGCACTCACACATACTCACACACACACACGCTGTGACTCACCACATGGGTAACTGAGCACCTGGATATCATCAATGGCAATGAAACCTCTTCTGCCGTTTGTCACCTCTGCCTCGAATATGACCTGCACAGAGAAACAGGAAACTGTGCTTTAGATGAGCTGCCATTCATTCACACTGCTCAATCGAATGAATGAATGAATGAATGAAAAGATTTTCTGCATGAATGTCATTCATTTCTATTGAAGAACATCTATATTATTACTCTACACCTCTGCTACTAATCCTCGTGAAAAAGAAGTGTGCTTAATTATTTTGAATGGGCACTTCGAATGCACAAAAGTTATATTTAAAATAAATACTTGATAATAAATTATTAATGAAATATACAGTAAGGCCACTTAAATATACTTAAACTTTCATTACTTTCTTAACTCACTTTTAAAAAGTGCACTTTGCATTAATGTCAAATTAAAAGATGTACTTTAATAAATGTTTTAATAATCTTTTGTCTTGCACATATTATGATGTGTTAACAAACATGCTAAAGTACATCATCTTATCATTTTAACTGTAGTGTGTTTATTTGATACAAAATACAAATGACTTTCAGTAGAAATGACATAAAAAAAAAAAAAAAAATATATATAAATAGTTGTATCTCGGACAAATATTGTCCTATCATAACAAACCATAGATCAACGGAAAGCTTTCAGATGATGTATAAATCTCAATTTTGAAAAATTGACCCTTATGACTGGTTTTGTGCTCCAGGGTCACATATTAATTTACCAGTTTAGCCCCGTAGTTTAGACAATGCTTGTCAGTACATTCAGCATATTTCAAAGACAACAGAATTATGAAAGCACAGATAAAGATGTACTAAAGTCCTACTTTACTCTACAAAAATCGCCTGCGGTCATTACCGCCATCAGAGATCGTCTCTGTTTATATACAGTGCCAAATCTAATTTTGTTAATCTCCAAAGACAAAACAGATTTCCACAAACAGTTGCTCATTTCTGGGAGAAAAAGCGTTTCAAGCAAACACCCACGCGAGGACAGAAAAGGCGTAATTGAAAATCCTGTGAATGGTGAGGTCAGTCTCAGGTTTCTATTACTGAACTCAAAGCACAATTGAATAGAGTTGAATTTGCTCTGTATTCTGCCTCGACATCAAGGTCTGGCTTTTGTACGGCACTTTCCAAATGAACCTTTAATTTCGTGCCCTGGCGTCAAGATCGCAGCGATTCAGCCTGCGATCTGAAAGTGACCCAGTCGTATCAGGCCAGGTCCGGCTTGAGCAGAAGCCATTTCAATTAGAGCCGGGCCATCTGCAGCCCGTGTTAGGGAATATTGATGGCGCTTTTCATTTAGCGGAGCATCGCAGCCCTTTAAACTGATCTCTCTTAAAATGCCTCTGACATTTCCAAAGCAAATCTCAGGCTTGCTCTTGGTCAGTAATGCTTATGAGCCGATTATGATGTAAATCTTCAAAAGTGTTCTGGCTGAATGCGGTTATTCAGCCGCAGCTCTGTCTCCTGCTGCAGGATTCACTCGTACAGTAATTCTGCTGATCAGGCATCAGGTGTGTAGAGTCCAGCAGCAGTGTTACACTAGTGAACAGAGCTGATCGGTGTCTCACCGCTAATGGTTGGAGAGTTTCAAGCCATTTGATTCTTATAGTGTGCTTGTAATGTTTAACCCTAAACCTCTGGGGTCAGCATGTTTTTTTTTTTTTTATAAATAATTTTTTAATTCTCTGTTTTTCTGCAAGGATGTGTTAAATTGATAAAAAGTGATAGTAAAGGCTTAGATTGTTAGAAAAGATTTCTATTTTGAATAAATGCTGTTCTTTTTTCTTTTTCTTTCTTTAACTTTTTATTCATCAAAGAATCCTTAAACAAAAGTATCACAGGTTTAAAAAAAATATTAAGCAGTACTGATAACTGAAAACTCTTTCCAGCATTGATAATAAATCAGCATATTGTTAATACATCAGAATGATCATTACTGGAGTAATGATGCTGAAAATTCAGCTTAGTATCACAGGTTCCACAAAAATGAAGACTGGAGTAATGATGCTGAAAATTCAGCTTTGATCACAGCAATAAATTACATTTTAACAGATATTCACACAGAAAACAGATACATTAAATTGTAATAATATTTCACAATATTACTGTTTTTCTGTATTTTTGATCAAATAAATACAACCTTGATGAGCAGAAGATACTTCTTTAAAAAAAAAAAACATTAAAAATCTTATATCTTATAAGATATCATATATATATATATATATATATATACAGTGGGTACGGAAAGTATTCAGACCCCCTTAAATTTTTCACTCTTTGTTATATTGCAGCCATTTGCT